AGATCTCCTCGCTCTGCCCCGCCGTGAGCACCGGAGAAAACAAGCCAGGTGATTCCTGTCTCAGCGAAAGCCAAACCAAGCTCTACCCGCAGCAGGGAATGGGCGCAGCAAAGCAGCCACTCTGCAGGGCAAAGAAGCCACTGGGGCGGCGGCCGGTGGTGTGGGAGAGAGTGTGGCGGCGAGGAGCGAGCAGGATTGCGGGGGTGCGGCTACTCTGCTCAGGGCTACTTTTTAAAGGGAGCTCCGTTGGGGGGGGGGGTACGGGCGCGTGTGAGAGAGAGGCTTTTCTTTCCTGATTCCCTGACTGCTGAGAGAGGAGGAGATGGAGGCAGGGCGAGCTAATGGTGGGTAGGAGGTATGTGATGGAGCCACCGCCCCGTAGTAGCTGCCTGGTAGAGGGAGGGGCTTTGGCAGGGACGACCTAAGGGCCTACCTGCCCTAGTTCGCCTAATGAGGGTGTATAAATCCAATCTCTTCTTCTCTCTTATTTCCATAAAAGCGAAGAGAGCTGTGACACTCGGAAGTTGATACACCCCCCCCCCAAAAAAAAAGTCCTCCTGGTCTCTGAGGTTCTACTGGATTCCAATACAGTCCTTCTGCTGCAGAGATCAACACACCTGCCCACCTGAAAGATAGGAAACCTTACCTACCTGGCTACCTGAAAGGCGCTGGGACAAAACGCCCAAGAGTTTCCCCCCCTTTTTAAAAAAGAAGGTCCCTGGGGGGGTGTGCAGCCCGCCTCCACTTTACAGAGACAGAGAGCTGGGACCCAGGGTTCCCAACCACCAGGTGGGGCCTGGGGATCCCCCGCGACTGTAGCTGATCTCGGACAGTCCCACGCGGCAGGCCCCTCCTCCTCCTCCGCTCCGCCCTCGTTCCCTGTTCCCGCTTCTCCTCCTCTCCCCTCTTTGCCTCGAATCCCGAGCAAGCGGCTTGGTAGACGGCGGCGAAGTGGCGCGGCCCCCTGCCCCGAAGCGCTTACAGACACGCGAAGGAAAAGGAAAGGGAGGTTTTGCAAATAACTCCCCCCCCCCCCAACGCGGCGCCTGGGAGAGGATGGCATTGCCCGGCCCCAGTGCGAATTCTGCCCACTCCCCCACAACACAAGAGCGCTTGGGACCCCCCAGGAACTCACCGAAACACCCCGCCGCCGCCAGCAGGAGAGCGACGCCGAGCAGGAGCAGGAGCTCTCCCGAGGACAAATCCATTTCGATCAGGAGCGACAACTCCACTTCTGCGCCCGCCGGGCTGGCAAAACCCTTTCTGCCGAGCCAGGCCACCACCCTCTGAGGGGGCAGTGGCCAGGCGGGGAGGAGCGCAGGGCGAGAGCCGGGACTGGCCGAGGGGGGATTTCCCTCCAATCAGAAAGAGGCGCTCCGAAAGTGTCACGAGTCGCTGGGCAGACCCGTCGCCGGCAGCCTGAGCCACTGAGCTCGCCTCGGCAAGGGAAAGCGAACGTTGGCTGCGAAGTCGGCTGGGGGGACCGTGGCTGGGGGTGGGGGGACCGTGGCTGG